AACAAGGCCAGGGGAATTGTTTGTAGTGGGTTCCACACTGCAGGGTAGACCTCAGCAGATGGCCATTGTTGACCTTTAATGCTGGCCTTGCAAGACTGTATCATAGCCCCAAAGTTATGTGGCCACTTTTAAGAGGTGCTTGCATGTAAATCCAGCACCACATGATGCAATCAACTGTTGAAATGTGGATTCAGCCAAGATCTAAGTCATGATCTCTGCATATGATGCACACAATACAACAGTGTCATGGCAGCACATAAAAAGTTATATAATGGGTAAAACTCTGGATATTCCAGTGACTGAGTTTTGTATGACTCCTCTAAAAATCTAATTGTGTGTGGGGTTTTTTCTGCTGAAGAGATAGGGCAGAAACTAAAATAAGACTTAAGTTGTGGAGTAGTATCCTGATTTATTCTTGCCTTTTGAACATTGCTAATTCATCCACACATAATTAGGATTAATTAAAGAGTATAGAAGTCTGTGCTGGGGTAGCTTGTGAGTTTTTGCTAGGGCCATAGGGATTTCTAGGATGCAGTTTTGGTTTGACTGAGGTGCCAGTGATATTGGAAATGGTGTAACTGCCCAGATCAGCACACACTGTCCAAAACAATTGGTTTTCATGTTAGCTATTTAAGGCTTAAATAGATGTGATGCCAACATTTATCAACCACATTACCTACTTTGAAAATAGTAATGGCTGTTGTTGTGGGGGCTATGTTCATGTCAATTTTGCAAGGGTTTGATCCCCATCCCAATTTTATCCATGTTGTGTTCCCAATGGAATGCATGGCTGGCGAAGCCTTAAATGTGTGAACCTACTGCAAAACTGAAGAGCTTCTGGACACATTCCAACTTAACTTCTGCTTGAGCCAACCATGTGAGAAACAGCATCATCCCAGTGGCAAGACCAGAAAAATATTGGAGGCTCCCAGAAGGCAGGTCAAAATACATTTCCAGGAAACAAGCTTTGCCCCACACATTAGACTTCTGAAAGAGAAATGACTGTAGATTTAACATTTAAACACCTGTTCTTAAAATATGTTAACTTTCAGCTAAGCTTGCTAGAAGCCTTATTTTAATTTCCAGTATATGATTTAGTTATAATTTGTACATGAAAACCACAAGGGCCCAGCAACAGGAAACAAAAAGGCAGTTGCATGTTTTGCAATGGTTCTTCTCCCCACCTTCTTGTTTCATTGATACACATTCATTGAATTCTGCTTCTCCAGGTTACCGCCTATTTTATCTCCGTGGTACCTTTGGGTGACTTTCACAGTATAAATGAGATAGAGCAAATGATTTAGATTTTTTTTCCTGTGCGTGCTGGGTTGTAATGCTAATTTAGTGCACTCTTTCTGCTGAGGTCATCTTGCATATGCTACTACATGTGAGGTCCCTTTTTGATATAAATATGTAACAATTTTGAAGCAGATATGCACAGTGTAAGTAATATTATTCCTTGTTGAGTTAGCAGTTGCAGAGAATTTGAATCTTTGTACAATCCTGCAATCTGCTAATGTGATATTTAATGAGGAGACATCAGTCTGGAGAAAGGTAGTCAATATAAATCAGTGTTTACAAAGTGTGATTAACTCTGAAATATTTCATCAATGCTGTGGTCCCAGGCAGACTCTATGCTAATTACTAGAATCTGTGCATGTTTCAGGGGACTTCCGCAGACTCTGAGTGCAGCAAACATGGAGCAGCAAAATTGCAATTATGCCTGGACTGTCTCTGATGACAATTTATGCATTTGGTGTGATGACCTCCCACTTCCCAAGAGAGCAATAAACAGAATGCATTTTCATTAAGATACTAATGCACTTAATCACAGGGGGAAAGGGTTAGAAAGTAACAAAATACCTTTAAAGCAAGATGGGGCAGCACTGATGAGGGAAGGCATTTTTATTCTTTTCATGAAGTACTACCATCGCAAACTACATCATACTGAATGTAACTGTGAATATCCACATAGGTAAGGACCCTGTTATTCAGTAAGCAGGGGCTTATATTGCAGAGATTACATTAATTTTCCCTCATTGAATAAGAAAAATGATATTAGATAAGAACATAAGAAAGTCCCTGTTGGATCAGTTAGAAAATCTATCAAGTCTAACATCTGTTTCCCATATCAACCAACCAGATGTGTCCAGGAAGCCCATAAAAAGGGCTTCGTGTTGCCTTATGCAGCTAGCATTTGGTGGCATTTTGTCTCCCAACATGGAAGTTCCATCTAGGTATTCTTGGCTATATGTGTTGATCTATTCTTGTTGCATCTGGTTAATGCCTTTGAATGCCATATATGCCACAAAGTGGCCTTCATTTTATCCTGTGGCAGTGAATTCCGTAGGTTGTGTGAAGAAGTATTTCCTGTGAGGGACAACTGAGAAATTTGTTGAGTTTGTGTTTTTATATGATCTCCCAGGCCCAAATGAATTATGTGGCTGGAAGTTCATATGTGTTTAAGCTTTGAATACATTGCAGAAAACAAAGGCATTTAACAGCATGCATTGGGTTGATTGGATAGTTTGCAAAGAAGAATATGTACTTTTCTGAAGTGCACGCAAATACACATCAGCTAATTGCTGTATGTATGCAAACATTCACACATGTTGAAAAACTCACACAAAATATGTATGGCTCTTGTATGACAGGAAAGAAAGGTCTCACAGAGATTTGGAACAGAACAAATTCAGCATGATAAAATGGGAACCACATTGAATTTCAGTGCGTATTTCTGAAAACTTCTATTATGAGGGTGTAATCCTATGGGTTATGCCCTTGGTGATCATAAACCCCTGAACTCAGAGGCTTATGAAAACCCTGCGAAGGGCAGGAAGAGCACTGGAGTCCATCTTCATCTCCCTGTCCTCTAGTCCTGCCCTTTTCTAGATGGTATTTTTTACTGACTGGCTGGGGCACATCAGACAGGGGAAAGAAGGCAGGTGGAGAGGATTTAGGATAACTTCTAACATGTCCTCTCCAGTCACCACTCCTCCGCACCCACTGAAACATCCCCTTCTCCAAGGCTAAATGTCTGATTGTGGAAAACAATCAGCATAGTTCTTCCTGTGCCAGCAGTGTGAGCCAGTGTTCCAGTTCCCCTTTTGAGGTCAGAGCACTGCCTCCAACATTTGATCGAGGGATCCAAAATATTTATGGGCCTTCGGATGCTGTATAGGGGCATAGGATTTCATTCTGTATGGATTCTTATTCCAGGAGCTAACAAGTAGACCAACCCCCTGTGCTTAACTATATATACATACTTTTATGTGTATTAGTCATTTAGGGTGCAGTGTTATGCAGCTTTAGCTGAAGGAAAGGTCTTATAATTTGCAGCATTCTCTTGCCAGCTATTCACGAATACCAGTATGCTCCAGCCTACTATACTTCCTAAAAATTCAAGGAGCTCTTGGGCTGTCTAAACATTTTCTGTCAGAATATGGATATGATCATTCCCTTACTGTATATGCATTGGCCATCTTAGATTTGTTTACAAAGAGCAAATCCAGTGGATGTAAGGAGATAGGACACAGAATAATTTTCTTGGGATTCTCACTTTCTCACCTTTTCTTGTCATGATCTCACAGAAATACAAACTCGTACATGTACAAGGCACCAGTATTTGTCCACATTCCCTTTTTCCTGCATCTGTTTTTCCAGGACAAGATGAAGTGTAGCAACAGTAGTGGAAAAATTTCTTTACTCAGTTAACCTCCTTAATTAGCTCATCATAAAATGGTTGCTGTGTTCAGATGGAACACTAAGCCATAGTTCAGTGTGATGAGAACAGTTTAACATCATATTCAAATTACCATTAAAAAAACAAGTCATACGAGTCAATTGTCTTGTATCCATCAAACAGTTCAATTAGCTACAATGTGTTCAGCTTGGACAGCACAGCAAACTATGTTTAATGTAGAAGAGAAGGAAAAGATCCCAAAGGTTCCAGTAGTGACCCTAAGAACCGGGGAAAGGAGTTTGTGCCAAGGCTCACTGCAGCTCATTTGTGTCACACCAAACCATAGTTAAACACAGCCTCCTGATACAAAGCCTGTGATTTTCCAAAGACATATCAGAATTTGTTGTTCACCAGAGAAGGTTTTGTGAGAGCTCCATATTAACAGAAAGCTGAAATGTCACTGAAATGGCCATCTATATTGCAAATATAATAATTATATTTTGCTTTTCCTACAAAGTGGTTCAGAGTAGTTTACATAGGTTTACCTTAGATTATTCTTCCAGTTCAAGGAGGTAGAATCTGAGAGTGACTGACCCAAAGTCACTCAGTGAACCTAACGGCTGAAAAACATTTGAAACTGGAGTCCCCCAATATACTACAGCAGCCTCTCGATTTTGTATCAGAGTAAAACACTTCATGTCATGCATGGCATGCAATGTTCTGAACTACTGAAGAGGTGAGATGCTGTGCAGTTTATTCCCCACCACACATAAGTACCCAGGTAGTGCCTTTTCTGTGAGAGGCAGATGTTAGCAAAGTACTTAGATGGAGCCAAAATGTATCCTTCTGTTTTCTGTTTGCTACATGTTGAGAAAAGCAGGCTGAGCAAGAATCTGCATAAGTTGTATCTACACTGAGACACAGTTGTGTTTTACTGTTTTTGTTCTGAATTGCATTTAAAATCATTGTAGCACTCAAAAACAGTTTAGCACCAGTCTTTGTGCTAGGGAAGGGCAGATCTGTCAAGTCTGACTATAAGGACTTCCTCTTTTCCCTTCAAGTGCATTCTGTGCTGGCTTCATTCAAATTTTGCTTGCAGTTAAGTAATGCATCAGGAGTTTTGAAATGTGAACATGTTATAGAACATATTTTCTTTTCCATGCAGCATGCACATTGTGAACTGCAAAAGGTATCATTTTAATAAATTGTAAACTGTGCCCAACAAGATCTCATCCTTTTTGCATATACTTTTGACAGTATTTGTGTTCTCTGATGTCTTTAAGGATAATTTAATAGGTACATTTCTTAAATGCCACAGGTAACATAGAATACAGCTGCCCAGCAACCAATGAGTGCGAAATCACAAAGCGTCGACGCAAGTCCTGCCAAGCCTGTCGTTTTATGAAGTGTCTAAAAGTTGGCATGCTGAAAGAAGGTAAGGCTGATAGTCTTTTCACATACCTGTCCACAATCATTAAGAACTTCTGTTCAGTTTGGGAAGGACAGCTAGTGTGTGTGATATGTTATATGAACATTAACTTTGTGATGCTGTCATTGTTTTTAAAAGTACAAACCTACCACAACGTACAAGTCTAATATAAAATCAAAACCAGAACTCCATAAACACAACATTGGTTGTCTCCCAGTGACCCAGATGCCTTTCTTAATGAACTGGTTTTCACGAATCTCCTAAAAGTTTGAATGTAGAAGAGAGGCCACAGTGGAAAAGGCCCTACAAAATCCACATGCATGCAAAGCTCAGCATCATCTGATAATGTCAAGAAGAAACATATAGGAAAAGATAGCCTGGACTTAGACTATTTAGGGTTTTCAGGATCAGAACGAACACTTTGAAGTGTATCACATTGACAGGTGGATTCCAGTATACAATATGATAAAACCCTTCTGATTATTCTCTTTTTTGAATATTCTACTATATTTTGTATGTTTATACATATGTTTTTGGATGTGATTGTATGTCCAGCCTAAATAGTGAGTCAACTGAGCTAAGCTGAGTTTGGATATTAAGAATGCATATTAAGAATTATAACTAATTATGCTTCACAGAACGCTGTAATCCTTGCACTTCTGCATCTCCTTTTGGAGTGGTAAATGTACATAACTAATGCATCTCTCTATGGTGCTTCTCATTACCATTTTATAACCGTTAGACCAAACATGAATTTGGGAGCCCCCTTTTTAATTTGTTGTCATATCTGCATGGACGTAGTGCTACCTTCAGTTAAGATGCTAGTGGTGTATGTTCTGCAGGTTCTGCAGAACCTGTTTTCACCTTAGACATTACCTGGAAGTATGCACATCCTTTTTTTCAAGTTGAAGAACTTGCTTTGCTGAAGTTGCTTTCTTTTTCCCAAGAAGGGTAACAGTGCAATTGTATACATATCTACTGTACATGTCTATAAGTACACAAAGCGTGCATATTACATTGTTAAGAAGAGGATGAAATTTCACTAGTGTTGTAGTTTAGACAAATCAGATGCCATTATAGTATGTGTCAGAATTTCCAATCTTATCCAGAAGAATCTGTCTTCATTTTCCTAGCAAACAAGAGAGTGTGTTAAGTAGTTGATTTAAGGTGCTATTTGCATGAAAATATAATTTTACCTTCAATTCAGAAAGTGAAACTCATGCTTTTTCCTCGTTTTCTCACAACTGCTGTTCTTGAAAGAATATGGGCTGACGGAAAGATGGCAGAAAAAAATAAGCCTATCACATACCTACAGACATATTCTTATTGGATTATACGTACTAAGAATAAACCTCATTCTGTGTGTGGTTGCTTTGGCAGACGCTATGATCCTGTGAGCCAAAGCCTGCTGCCTTTAGTCTTCCTCCGGAAAAAATCCTGTCTAATTCAGTGGGGATTTTGCTTCACTAAGAGATACAGGATTTGGGTTTTTTTATTTGGATCTGGATAGGAAAACCTAATTTGCTCCATACTACAAAACCATAGTACAGAAACCTTTAATGGAAGCTTTAGATGAACTCAGACATGAAAATCATGCTTGTATATGACTCCTTTTCAAAGAGATGATACTGTTTAGCATATTTGGCTAGTTGGAATAAAAAGCTGTTGTTAGGGCTGGCTCACACTGCCATTTTCCTCCTTCAGGTAGCAGGCTTTTTTGCTGTCATCTAATGGTCAGATCTGTGAAGAGCCTGGCTTTTGTGAATGCAGCTGACATGGATCCTTCTGTCTAACCATTTATGCTGCTGTTTTTTGTTTTGTTTTAATAAAGGGAGCCTTTGTCTTTTACAGTCCAGATGTGCCATCTCCCAGGAAAATTGGGTGCCAAAACAGATGGGATGAAGGAGATCTATGACTGAATCTCCTTGCATTAAAAAAGCAACTTTACCATACAAAAAGCACAAGTGCCAGTATTATAACTCTATTCTTCTCCAGCAGCTGGCACATGAGATTGGGGAAATCATGAAAGGCTTAAGCAGCCCCTTCCCCAGCTAGTAAAAATATGCATCTTTTGCAGCACCATCCTGGACATGCCCAGTAGCACTGCTGCAGCACCCTTTAAAGCTGCAGCCTTAAAGTTTGAAAGCAAAAACAAACAAACCCTAGACAAAAGCAGATCTTTAAAAGTATTGTTAGCTCTTCCCACTGTTCATCCATCTTTGTAATGGAGGATTCTGACATTTCAGAGAAAGCAATTGATTCTAAAACCCACTGAAGTTTCAAAAGGGTGTTAATAGAGGAGGTCTCGGATCTCTTCTCAGTCGTTCCAGAGATCAGGACACACAATAACAGGCTCACATTACAAGATTCCCACTGAAAAACATTGACAATTTTCTAATACAACCATTGAGCCAATTATATAGGGCGATCATGGGCTTTTCCATGCTGGAGGCACTTAAGATTCAGTAGAATAGCCATTTGTTTGGGATGCTTAACCTGGAGTCCTGCACTGAGCAGGGGGTTGGGTCAGATGGCCTTATTAGCCCCACCAGCTCTATTATTCCATGTTTCTATGACAATAGAAAGCAGCAACAATAGCAGACATAACAGTGGGGACTGTGGATCCTTGATAAATGGCATCTTATTCTCGAGCTGTGATACCGTCCTTTGTGCGGTTGCTCCATTAACTGCCCTTGGAGGTGGTCCATTCTCGCTTATCTTAAGGTGTGGCCAACTGATAACAGAAGAACCTGTCTTCAAATTCCAGACTGTTTCTGGATTTAGAGGTGAAAACCACCACTTCAACTTGGGCTCATAAACATATTGCTAATGAGTGCAGTTGGTGCAATATTAGCATTCTGTGATCAAATAGCTTCACTGTCAGCCACACTTCAGTTACTGAATCCTATACCAGCTGAAGTGTCTGCACCGTTTTCAAAAGAAGCCACCTGTACAGTGCCTTACTAGCCTGGACATCACCAGGGTCTATATAATTGAGGTGACGTCTGGCCTTTCCCAGAAGGACTGAGTATTATCCCCTTACAACTGGCAATTCAGCCAAATCCACCAATGACTTCTCCCAGCTGTTTCATCTAGATATTTAAAAAATGGTGGATAGGATGGGTCCTTGTGGAAGCCCAAACAGTAAAAGCGATGAGTGGAACAAATGTCCCCCAGAACTACTTTCTGAGACTGTTTGTTCAGAAAAGACTCATAGAAAGGTAGAAACTAAATATGGCAAAGGTTGCAGAGCTTTGCATGATGGCTAACAAAACACCTCATTAAAGTAGAAAGCAACTTTTTAAATCGCACTCACACTAATAGATTTCAAAGAGCATTTGGGCTAAAATATTTAAAATGCCATATCACAGTTGCATACAGAAGGTTACCTGCAGCGATCCCAGGAGATAAAAAGGCTATTATTGAGGGAGAGGCATCAATGACAGGAACATCAATTAACACAGCATTGAACAAAATGGTTTGATTCAGAAGTAGGTGGAAACTTTGGTTATGAGAGCAAGTGATGGTGAGGCTTAGCCTTGTACTATTTATCTTTCATTTCTTCATCTTCTTTTTGGTTGATAAGCCTTCAATTATAAACCAATCACACTTCCTCATGACCCAGATTTCAAGAATTGTCGCTTTTTAATATTCAGGTTAGGGAAAACAAGCAAGAATCTGAAGCATTATTTTGAGCATGACATATTCTCATTAACCATTACTTAAATGCAAAGGGCATTGCATTTGGATGGCCTGGTAAACTGTGACTAATTCAAAATTAAAAGTAGAAGTTTTTCACCCAGGTATGAAAGAGGAGGCGGAAGAATACAGGACTCAAAGGCTCACCATGGCACATTCTCATAGCTGGAAGATATAATTGCCCATTACAGGGTTGTTCACATGATTACAGTGAGGAAAATAAGCTTATTTTGTCTTCAGTGGATTTCCTTAATTAGCCTCACTGGCACAGCTTGCCATGTTATCCAAACCTTGGCAGCAAGGCTTGTTTGGTGGGGGCAGCAACTCCCAGACTCTTTGTGGAAAGCAGAACTGGCTCATACATGATGCACATACTGGCAAATTGGGTTAAAAGCTCATGTTTTGCCTCTGTGATGTGCAAACTGGCCCAGTGTCTTCTGGGAAATTGAAAAGTACGTGGTGGCCAATTCGTCTAAGTTTGATAACTGTCTGGAGGATAGTTTATTATCTATTTTATGTCCTGCCTATCTACCAGAAAATGATATTCTTAGTCTCACATTCTATTTGTTATCGGTAGCATCCATACTTGTCAAGGAGCTTTGTTGGGGGTAAACTAATGAGCACCACTTGATGCTTTTTTATTTTGGCAACTAGTTTTTAGATAAAATATTGTGATTATAATGCTTTATTTCTGTAATATTGTGGAGGGTACAAAGTGCTTTAGAATTCTAACTTCATCATCCCTCTTCTGTACTCTTCCTCATTTCATGTTTCTGCTGTGAAAAGGCAAAATTTCAATAGGTAAATCTGCATATTTTCCATAGTTCGATGAATGAGTTTTCCATCAGATGTAGACATATCTTCTTCAATGGAAAATATGCACATTCTCTTAATACGCATTACGATATGGTTGTGGAGATGGAAGTAGACAACAGGAGCCCTGAGTACTTGCACTTCCTTTTTCTTGCTTTATTAAGGTAAGATCACCCTTGGTTTGACATCTTTCTCCATATTGTGGCATGGAAGTTGAAGAGTTACCCTAACCTCAGATGAGGTTAAAGGCAATACTTATTTGGCACAACTTTAAGAAAACAATGGCAGATACTCAATATAACCTGTCCTGATTTACACCCTAAGAGCTAATTTGCCTTCTAGATTTTATGTTCAATAACTAAATGTAATGCACACAAGGGATGCTAAAACAGGCTGACCAGCCCATCAAGCAGAGATTTTGTAGCAATATCATAACCTTTGCTAATGTGACCCAACCATGATTCGTAGGGGCCAATTTCAGAGGCTAACAGGAG